AACGTAGTACACTAAGGCGGTGTAGTGGATGACAGTGAAGAACGTTCTGGAGTGGGAAAATGTCACGTAAATGATATGTTAAAGTCAGTCTGACCTTTGACACCAGGTAGATTACTCCCTAAACCTACTGCTATACATACTGCCGAACAACAGGCTATTGATTCAGGCTACCTGCTACAACAAAATATCGCGTTCATTAATACAATTCGTGCTATTGCATGACAATTTGATATTTTGATCTTTTTCATTAAGTACGGTAAAGTAATAAAATAATGCATATTTAGAATGTAATTTTTGTCCAAATAACATTATGCAGCATAATATAATACTGTATTTCCATGGCTAATACTAACATGCTATCATATCAAAAAATAACGGAGGAAGATATCTTTTAAACAAGATAACCATCCATGAATGTTCAAACTTTGTGGAAAAACAGCAGTAGTGATTCAACTTGGCGAGGCGGCATGAATATTGTATAATTTGTTCTAATAAAAATTCCGTCCTTGACAACCTTGGGAACACTGCCTTTACAGAGAAGAAGGTTAAATAGATCGCTGACTCACAAGGTAACGTTCATTCCTCAACACAGAGGTTGTGTTCAAGCGTCATTGAATCCGGTAGCTTCCCATAATGATCAAACGAACAAAAACGTGAAGATATATACGCAGGTTGTCTTTTGATTTAATGATGCTTGAAATTAAGTACAATTTTCATATATTCTCGTGATAGGCGTTACAGGTGCTTGATTAATATCGTTCTATTTTATACTAGTACCATTGATGAAACCTTTATTGACGACATGGCCATATCGTGCTGTATTATGTTAACTTCTATATCGATTAACTTGGGTTTAAAAAGTTGCTTCCTTACTTCTATTTGTATTGTTTTTGTTTTACATAGTACCCACTGACGGAGTGTGTTAGTAGCAAGATATTTTTTGATGATATCAAATCAGGTGTTTAAGGCTAAGTACCGACACCAAAAGTGCACATATACCCTATACCGAGACATACTCCTGGCAAACAGAAAGGTTTCATCTGCCAATCCTTCTCAATATCAAATATAAAATTATTTGTTGTACGTGTATGTTAAATATTCTGGTTTAACTATATCGCTGTGAGTGATATGCAATTGAAAGTGTATGCAAATTTCTGTTTTGTAGTGAGCCATGTGTAATTAAAGTATCGCAAAATGAATTTGTTATATCGCAGTGAGCGATGCGCAGTTATACTGACAAAATGAATTGATATAACAGTCAGCGACGTGTAATTACTGTATAGGGGAATACTTGATCGATTGACTGAGAATTGGTTTGGTCAGGTGATGTTAAATTTCAATGTTTGTCATTTGTTTTTATTGTAGGATGTCGAACAGAAACAATAAAAATAAGGTTGATATAATAAATTTGGTGGTTACTTTTTTAATGCAAACATAGGGTATCGGTAAGGTGTGGAGTTAGATATTTTATTTCAGGCAATATATATTTTCAACTAAACTATAAAAATAGATATAAATAACAATTCATCAATATTGATCTTGTATTACAGTGTTTAACGAACAAATAAACTAATAGATATGATGCTGTATAGATCATGTAGCATGGTGACAGAGAGGGTGTAGGAAATTATCTTTAACTAAGCTATCTGAAGCTAAGTTGGTGTTAGATAATTTTTTTATTATTTTTATTTTTAACCTTTTGAGATAAACAGAATTTCGTTGACATATCAGTTACATTGTAAGTGGGACTTATTCAGCCATTTTACTTCCGTATATACTACATGACACCGTGTCTTAAATGTTCCCGCATATCTTGTTTTCTACACACAGCTCACTCAGGTTCGTCTGACTCTTAACTCTTACAACACGACACATGTGCCATTATACCTATCCAGCACGTTACCTGTACATACTGTACTATCTCCCGAATCGAGATGATGTATGACGTGTTGTATACATGAACACGTCATGTCAACATGTAGCATATATTAGCAAGGAAACGTACGTACTTAAGCACGTAACGCTTTGTGAACATCTTCATAAACATTCACGGACGTTTCCTAACTTGAGGGAAAGGCTATTTTCATTATGTTCCACAGGAAAGCAATAATGGAGGCAAGAAAAGACTTTCCTGAGGGAGAGTTTGAGTTTTGAGTTCTCGATTATGAAACTGTGTCTCATCTTAATGTACGCAAGTCTTGCACATGGACCCTTCCATTGTACATTAACGTCACTGCGATCTCATTTCCTGGATGATGTGTCAGTGGAGTCAGTGCACGTCACCCTAGGACAATGACTGCACACTAAGGTCGTCTGCATCACATCGTATTTCTATGAAATAGAGAGAAAATAGGATCACAATATTCGAGTTAATGAATGAAGATTTTACAACACTTGTCTATCCAACTGAAATCCCTGCAACACATAACACTTCATGTGTGCGTTTCACGACGTGGCACATACACCTATTGCATAAATGCTGCATACACATATTAAGGACATCACTACGACAACACATTCAGTAGGCGGATATTGAACTATTTAAGATGAATTTTATTTAATGTTTTGCTAATATATTTATTTAATGAAAACAGTATCACCATGACAACAACGCATTTGATAAATGACACAATAAAGTCATTCATAAAGCCACTGTTTAAAAGTTAAGTTCCCTCAGATGTCGAATATGTATTAACTTACTTGCCGGTGTGGAAGATGTATTTTGTATATTTTATTGTGACACAATACAACACCAAAACATACTTCATGCCAGGTTATACCTTTAACAGTATCGACGATATATTAAACTTTCTTTTTGCAAATTGCTGATATTGTGAAAGACCTAGAAAACCGAGTAGTTGACTAAATCCCGAAATATATGTAAAGATGGGTTTAAGCTGATTCTCGTCAACATTACCATATTTGAAAAACTGCCATCGGAAAAACTAAAGATAAACCATGATTTAAAAAAGTGAAAATAAATAAAATAATGATGATAATCAAAATAACAAATCAAAATTATCAACAACAACTTTAGGTAGCAGGCTTATGAAATACTCATAAACAAGGACACATTGCTTGCTATACAAACCAGATTCCTAGTAGGTGGTGAGAGTTGTCCTTCTTACATTAGTGCGTTTATGTTTTCTGTTGTTTTGTATGCGATGTTTTATTTTAGTAATAATTGATTTAATATCTCCAACTTTTACGTGCACAATTACATGTATAACATAAAAAACACATCGTCACATGTGCATAAGCGTATTTTGAAGATTTTATAATCAAACGGATGCATTTCTGACTAAATAAAAAAGTAGGTTGTATTACTGCAGAGTTATCTTCTGACTTTACAAGTTACTTCCCTTTCTAATATGTGTTTGCATATATTTTTCTAAACTAGGCACCTTATTTTGCCATTTTCATATGAGATATGGCAGGAAACAGAGTGGAAATTTCAAATGTCTCGATATAGAAGAAACATTTTAAAGAAATTGTGATTGATCAGAATACCTTTGAGTTCGAAATCAACATTACATTAACTCATCGTCATAAACCCACATTAGCACTACAACCCTAATTGGATGGAACTAAGAACGGCGGACTTGATAGAGCAACAAGATTAGAGGCAATTTTCACAAAGATGGATAATTACAGTTTCGTTAAGTTCTACATTAATTGCTTCACGTGAAAAAACATTATCACACTATATATCTATAGTCCACTTAATTGCGGTTAGTATGGTGGTTAGGATGTAGAGTATATGGACTCTTTACATGGGCCTTGTGATCCAGTATTTATCATGGTCTCTGATAGTTCAGCTATTTTCGTAGACAGTCTGCTTAGCAATAATTACAGACAATGCTAATGCTAGCTTGTATGCCTCCATTCTTTTCGTGAATGTATTCTAAGCTTATATAGTGAAATATATGTACCAGATACCTAATGGATTAATCTCATTTGGAAAGGATATCCTCTTTAACTTCTCCAGATTTTACCATGTGCAAGCATAGTTCTTGAGACGTATAAGATCTATAAGAATTTTCAAATTCATGACATTTTTGACCTTGGACAAAATAAATCAGGAAGCTTGTAAGTACCAGCTACACTGTAATCATTTATGTGTATAATGATATGACAAATAGGAGTGTAAAAGTCATGACGTGAGCATTGGCTAACCATAACTGATGTAGACAATCTCTCGAACCGAACGTGTCGTTAAGTTGAAACGTTATGAAGGATTTCATTAGCATCGTTTCTTCTTCTGCTATTTCCTACCTTAATTGGGAACACTTTAGACTTTTGACCCTTAGTACCACTTGTGTGTCTTTAATTTGCGAAATGTCCGTATTGTGTAGTAAAAGTAATTATTTTATTTGTTTGCAGCGACTTATCAAATATGTACTTCCTTATTATCCATATTAGTCCTTAATTTGCAGAAATGGTCGATTTGTTTGTTTTTGTTTAACGGCCCATCGACAACTATGGTCATTTAGGGTCATGGTGATTTTTTGTTTAAACAAACATGATGCGAGTAGCGTAATTAAAATTAGATAAAAATGAATATTTTTTATAAGCATTAGCACGATATGTGTAAATAATTAAAATATGTTGTATTAATTTTAACACTAATATGTTAAAATATTAATACAGAAAACGTGATGTAAGAGCTTATGTGTTACATATGAACAACTTAAGAAAAGAAGATATTGAAAGTCTCTAAGGTTACATTATCCAATATCATATAACTTGAATCATTAATGATGAGACCAAGGTAATGGCATTTCCTTGTAATTCATAACTAACATGTCTCTGTGGTTTCGAAATATTAAAAAGGCGGTTGTAAAATATGGTATAGAGACAGTCCATATCGCTAGTTGATACGATCATTGTGTTTATCAGCCCCGACTACCCAGTGTTTATCGTGGTAAGTAAATTAACAATGTACCTGTATAAACACGAGTAATCTAAATATCTCAGTGCCGCTAACGTTTATAGTATGGCTATGCTGCTATACTTTTTATTGTCTTCATTCTTCGTACTCACCCCAGCGTCTCCCACGCCAAGATGCTGTATGTACGACCAGTGGGAGGGCGTGTTGTTCTTTGGGTTCGGATCGGCTGGCAATGACTTGTTGTTTAGTAATGGAACTGCCCGAGTATCTTACGACCTGGTCAACGCCAAGACGTTTGTCAGCTTTGAGATTTACCAAAGGTCAGCATCGTCGCCGGTTTCTCGAACAAGTGCTGTCTTCATTTCTCACTTCAAAACGGTAATACAAGGAGTTAGCTGGTGGTTACACTATTCTAATGTTAATTCCAATTCATAAAATTTTATATATCTTGTCAGTAAGTGGCTAAATCTAGCCATAATATCATGAAATGATTTTCAGAAGTATATGTTAAATGATATAATGCGGATTTACTGAATTGGATTTTGAAAAAGAGAATAAAGAGGGTTTATATGTACAGTGTATACCAATTATGCTTACAGGGTGTCAAGTATACGATATCCACCAAGAATCGGACATGTGAGAAAGGTTCACTTTCAACAACAAACATGACAACGTATTGTGCATCAGGTAACTAATTACATAGGCACCAAATTGTTCAAAGCCTTGTCAGCTTATTAAGTCGTTGCTGCAAATTTTCAAAATGTAGATTTTGAGAGACATTTTTTTGTGTTTACTCATCAGGTATTCATATCGAATTTCTTTGCATTCAGACTTAGTTTCGAATTTCATATATTAGGACATACACGAGAAGAAGGAGTCGTAATGTCTTTAATCCTGTTAGGCTTTCAATGAGTTGATCCTAAATAATATTATTTCCATAATGTGATAACAACAATAAACGCATAAACTACCGTAACTAAATAATAAGTATGACAAAATTGTTAAGTACATAAGATTACTAGCATGTAGAATAATAACACAAAAACATTCTGAATGAATAGCAGGTAAAATATTTAACAAAGTAGCATAGATATAAAGCAGTTAGTATGACTGAATGCGAACGTGTGCCTTGACTCTGTCATTTCTGTACGAGCCTTTTACAATATTTATGTTTTACACTTCTCATGTCACTTTACGTGGTATTTGGGAAACGATGATGACATATTAGAGCAATATTGTCTTTTTATTAAATGTTAAAATTCAGCTTCATAATAGCAAATATATAAAGATCACGCAGTGATCGAGAGAACGCTGGGAGGCGTGTTTTGTGTTATCGTTAAGTTGATAAAAACATTATAAGTGATGTACGACATCCTTTTATTTTCTTAACATTTAACAGAATTTCACGACAGCGGAGGTCATCCGCGAGGACGTATCGGGGGATCGATGGCGGTGACGAATGTAGACATTCTCGAGGAAACAATCTACTCTACAATATACCAAGGTTGTACATAATCTTATAGTAGAACCTCCGTTTTGTATACCATAGGCTAGATTCGTTTTCACTTTTGAAATTTGTCCAATTAAAACGTAAAACTCATGATATTCACTTCTCATGTATTGGGCTAGAAGCTAAATATCTTATAACTAACTAACATACAGGACATGAATGACACATATGCTGGTAATTATATTGTCTTGTTTCTTTGTTGTGCATTACAGCATTGATGTTTCGGAAATCCATTTATTTGATTTCTGTTTCAGACGCTTCCAACTGTATGCCGTTATTTGCATGGGGCCTACTGAGGGCTCCAGGGCTGGGAATAGCGGCCGGTGCTGATTTCCTGGACCTAGAAGAAGGGATCAGAGACCCTTCTGTATTTACGCCTCCATCTTACTGCCCAGAACAAATGTCAGGGGTGTGTTTACGCCTCCATATTAATGACCAGAACAAATGTCAGGGGGGTGTTTACGCCTCCATCTCACTGCCCAGAACAAATGTCAGGGGGGTGTTTACGCCTCCATCTCACTGCCCAGAACAAATGTCAGGGGTGTGTTTACACCTCCATCTTACTGCCCAGAACAAATGTCAGGGGTGTGTTTACGCCTCCATCTTACTGCCCAGAACAAATGTCAGGGGTGTGTTTACGCCTCCATCTTACTGCCCAGAACAAATGTCAGGGGGTGTTTTCCCAGTTGCTCTATCTGTAACACAACTTTTCTTTATAGGAATTGTTTACTTTGCTCGACTTATCCTTCTGCATCGAATTATTAAAATTGTTGCTTGCTCACTCCGCATTTCTATCGACCATTTAGCGTCATAGGCATTCAAATAATCTATTTCCTGTAACAGTGGTATAGTTTTCCATATTTTACACTGAATACCAGAAATGTATTGATAACATATACTAACACATGTTTTTCTGTTTCTCGTTTTTCAGAAAGAGGATGATTCGTGGTTCTTAGGACTCTCAAGTCTGTTTAATAAAAAAACAGCTTTAAGTTCTCAATCGTCGTCCCCATTTTTTTAATTTGATTTTTCGTTTAATCTTGTGTTGTGAACTGAAACATTTATTGTTATGCGACACGCCATCTAGTCATGGTACGAACTTTTATCACATTTCAGCAGATCATGTTGAAGGGTCAGAAATTAATGTTGTGAAACGAAGCAAACAGACGAATGAATGAACAAAATAACCATAACATCGTATTCCTCCTATATCTTGTATGGCTTTAAGTTGATAAAACTATAACATTAGATTGTCAACATTGCAGTGATACCCGTATCCGTCATCCTGGACCATCATCTAGCTAGATATTTATGCAAACCATTGCCTGCAAAACCGTTGGTACCTACTTTAGTGCAGCACTTCTCAAGATCAAGTAGCATTCTATATGATAAGTCAAGCATGTTCTGTCGGTGAAAATGTTATTAATCTATATAAAATCCTATTTCGTAAAAACAAGAAGTAATGAAACTGCGTGAGGTTTAGTGACCTTCCAGTAAAGAAATGTTACCAGAGTGTCACCTGTATTAGAACAAACCATTGTTTTAATAAATTGCAAAACGTTGTTGAAATTCATAAAATTTTGAGTTATTGCTGGTCGAACAAGATTATAAGTGCCACGCTACCAACTCTTTTCTTGCAAAGGGAAGCACATTGCTGAGTAGAAATCATGCCACGGCAGATATCACTTTAAAAATGCTTATCCGCCATTAGCCTTAAAACGATCCTTCTGTTAGACGGTCTATGAATGGATGCTTTTGGCTACTTTCTTTCCTATTCTAACAATTTGCAGTTCACAACTGATATTTGTGAAAAATCTGAGTAAAATGTTGATTTATAAATAGTGGAGCTATGGAGCTACGTTCAGTTTTTTATACCAGAAACTAGAAAATAATACTTCTACGAGAAAACCGGATTTGGCAATCTAATCAATAATATGCATCGGGAATTCAGAGATAAAACGTCTCTTGATAAACAGTGAGCTGCAGTCTTTTTGGTATGGAGCTACATCAAGTGTTTGTACAAGATACTAAACAAATTATTGCTTCCCTAGAAAATCGGACCGATTCACATCGATTTTATACGCTATGTACAGTAAATATCGAAGTGACCTTTTTATCTTATCGTAGCGCACACACACAGACACTATCAGTGAGCGGGTTGTTACTGCAGTATTTGAATAAGTATTACCTAAGTATGTGGCTACATAGATGTGTATAGATACAAGTAGCTTCATTACACTCATCAAAATGACTAGGTTTGTGGCTGTGTTGGTATTCCTGTTAACAATCATCTCTCCTGCATCGTCCGAACCGAAGTGCTGCATGCTTAACAAATGGGAGGGTTTGGTTTACTTTGGCATTGGTGCAGTGGATAAGCAAAATAGCTCAGGGATACCTGGTTCTGACAAGACAGATTTATATATAACAAACGGGACAGTCCACGTGTCATATGACCAGGACAATGGTCTGACATATATAGGCTTCGACAGGTACACAAGGTCTGTACAGTCTCCCCCAGAACGATCGCGAGGTAGCCTCATCACCAATTACAAAACGGTAAGCAGGCAGCTCTGTGTATTATTTAAAACAAAGCAGCTGTGATTTGTAATGCTATGGATATTACTCAAGCACAAATACAGAATATAATATGTTGAAGGGTTGTATCCTTATTTTGTACATAGTATGTAGTACATATACACGTGTTTTTTGTCTACTTTCCTAGAAATTTCAGTATCTGGTTTACGAAAATGGAACATGTGAGAGGTCCCAGTTGACTGACAATATGACCGTATATTGTGCCTCAGGTATTTTTCATATTCAGCTATAGTATAGTCCTGTCATGATAAACCACAAATAATGTGATGAAAACTTTCACAGAAATATCCCATACTTCAATCACTTTACTTTCGCGATTATGCTTCAAATATGATATCTTAACGACGTAGGTTTAATATATATATATATATATAAATCCCTGTTTACCTACAGAAGATATAAATTTACTAAATGACCATCAAAAGCGAAGTCAGTACGTTCCTGTTATTTACTAACGTTAATTTATACTTAATTTGATGATCTATTTTCGTTTTAGATTTCCTTAAAAACGACAACTTTCCGATGGGGCGTATCGTAGGAGCAACCCCAGTAACCAATATAGAGGTTCTTCCTGGCTCATTCTTCTCCAGTATCTACACAACGACATACCAAGGTAAACCAACAACAGGCAAATATGTCTTTCTTTACTTAATATGTTAGTGCTTTCTTCATTTAATACGATTAATCGGGAAATTTGTGTTTTTTCTCGTATTAATAAAATTTCAATTATTTTGGCAATTTTTTGTACATGGTCTGAATTTTAAAAATATTTGTACAATGCTACAACCGGTTTATAACTGGTGGTTAAGTTATCGTGTTTTTATGTAATAAAGACAAGTGTTTAAAGCAATTCCCTTAATTGAAACTGTGTCTGCCTTTCTTCTTAAAATTCTATCTATATTGTCTGTTCTCTTTCGTATGCAATCCTTTAGTACGAGGACCAGAACTCGCTGGACAGCTACTATACAGATGTAATACTGTTTATATTCGAAAATCATTGATATCTTCATCATCTGTAGTTATGATAATAAGAAAATAAGGCACATTCGACAGAGCATATCTCTGCATTGACGCTTTTTGTTCTGGGTGTCACTTTTCAGAAAACCAAAATCTCAAGTTTTGACCTTTCCTGATATATAACATCTTCAGTAACCTTGACCCTTGCAGGCGTTTGCTAAAATAACCTTGACCTTGACAGACGGTGCGCACTGTATGCCGCTCTATCTAGCCATCGTTAACAACTGGCCAGGCAGTGACGGTGCTGGAGCGGGGGGTGCCGACGTGCTGGACATTAAGGAAGGCATCTCAGATCCATCTGTTTTTACACCTCCGCCGAACTGTTCAAAGCAGATATCCGAGGTGAGCTTAATGTATTTCTGATAAATGAATAATGTTTTCCTTATTAAAACATCAAAAGTAACAAAGTAAATGAGTGTATTACAATGCATAACGCCATTTCTATACTTAGATATTTGAAAATTATTTATGGCAATTTCATTTATCAAAAATTATATTTACTCATTTTTGTTATTTTTCAGAAGTCTAAGGATCCAGTGTTTCTCTGGCTTTCCAGTTTCTTTGGTTAGGAATCCTTATTAAGTGTGACAGAATGTGTCGAGAAAACAAATTATAAGATTTGATAGTTATGTGTATGGCTTTTACGATTGCCTACTTGTTTTATTATATAAATCTCTTTTCACACACCTCTTGGCGATTATTTGTTTTTGGCCACAGGAGATGACAAATATTCGTTTACCTTATAATGTCTCTTGTTATTTAAAACAAGAGGCCCAATGGGCCTGCATCGCTCACCTGGTTAAATTCTCACACTTGCAACCTTAAAAGTGATCTAAAATAAAGCTACAGGCAAAATATCAGTATTTTTGATTAAAGTCATTCAAAAGAACCTGTTAAAAGATTTTAAAACATTTCACCCTTGTTACTTTGAAAGTCGAACAAAGTCATTATGTTGAACAAATTGTATAGCCTTTCATCTCAGTATGCAACTTGCAAAGTATCAACATCCTGGGACCCATGGTTATTCAGAAGAGGTCGTTTAAAGATTTTAAACAAATTTGACCCCTGTGACCTTGAATATAAGTGAAGGTCATACATTCGAACAAACTTGACAGCCCCTTACCCCAGCATGCTACTGGCCAAATATAATAACCATGGGCATTTCGGTTATTCAGAAGAAGTTGTTTAAAGTTTTTTTAAGACAATTGACCCCTGTGACCTTGAATATAATTGAAGGTCATTTATTTGAACAAACTTTGTAGCCCTTCATCTCAGCATGCTACGGGCCAAATATCATCACCCTGGGCATTTTGGTTATTCAGAAGAAGTTGTTTGAAGTTTTAAACATATTTGACCCCTGTGACCTTGAATACGGGTGAAGGTCATTCATTTGAACAAACTTTGTAGCCCTTCATCTCAGCATGCTACTGGCCAAATATCATCACCCTGGGCATTTTGGTTATTCAGAAGAAGTTGTTTAAAGGTTTTTTAAGACAATTGACCCCTGTGACCTTGAATATGGTTGAAGGTCATTCATTTGAACAAACTTTGTAGCCCTTCATCTCAGCATGCTACTGGCCAAATATCATCACCCTGTGCATTTTGGCTATTCAGAAGAAGTTATTTAATGGTTTTCACATATTTGACCCCTGTGACCTTGAAAATGGATGAAGGTCATTAATTTGAACAAACTTTGTAGCCCTTCATCTCAGCATGCTACGGGCCAAATATCATCACCCTGGGCATTTTGGTTATTCAGAAGAAGTTGTTTAAAGTTTTTACCATATTTGACCCCTGTGACCTTGAAAATGGGTGAAGGTCATTAATTTGAACAAACTTTGTAGCCCTTCATCTCAGCATGCTACTGGCCAAATATAATAACCATGGGCATTTCGGTTATTCAGAAGAAGTTGTTTAAAGTATTTAACATTTTTGACCCCTGTGACCTTGAATATAAGGGAAGGTCATACATTCGAACAAACTTGGCAGCCCCTTACCCCAGCATGCTACTGGACAAATATAATAACCATGGGCATTTCGGTTATTCAGAAGAAGTTGTTTAAAGGTTTTTTAAGACAATTGACCCCTGTGACCTTGAATATAATTGAAGGTCATTCATTTGAACAAACTTGGTATCCCTTCAACCAAGCATGCTACTGGCCAAATATTATCTCCCTGGGAAGTTTGGTTATCAACAAGAAGATGTTTAAAGTTTTTAACATATTTGACCCCTGTGACCTTGAAAATGGGTGAAGGTCACTAATTTGAACAAACTTTGTAGCCCTTCATCACAGTTTGCTTCTGGCCAAATATCGACACCCTAGGCCTTTCGGTTATTAAGAAGAAGTCGTTTAAAGTAAAATATTGACGCCGGACGCCGGACGGACGGACGGACGGACGGACGGACGCCGGACGCCGCGCCAAGGCATAAAAATGATTCCGAGATACTCACACGTATTTTAACCTATACAACAGAGCCAAAGTGTTAGAAGTCGAGATAAGATAAATGAATACACAGGGTGAATCCAAACGTTTGTTCCCGCTTACAATTTGAGTGCATTGAGTGAACTAAATAAGTATTTTTAATTTAAAAGCTTTCTCGAAAAATATGGAGTTTACTTGGAATATAGTGAGAGAAGTTCCCGTACAAAATCATAAAGAAAAACGCTGGCTAGTAGTGGTACGATACTGAAGCTAGTAATTAAATGGGAACTTTAAACACTGTGAAGCTGTTGTAGAACGTGGCGAGATGAAAAGTAATATACCATTGATACTGTGATGGACGTCGCAGGAACACGGATGGAAATATTTTATTGGAAATTGTCTTTATAAGAAAATTAAAACGTAGCTAGTGAAAAGAAGTTCGGCTTCCATAGAAAAACGGACCATACACTAGATATATCGTCGATGACTTCGAGTGTACATCGTATGTAGAAATTCAGAAAAGAGTGAAGCATTAAACCTGTAGTCAAGACAACCTACGACAAATACCTGGCCGTTTGTCTCTCGCAATAGTTCCGATTTAGGGATGCTAAATGTTGTGTACAGACTATTTCTGCAGGACTGTTTGTTAGCCTCATTAATGATTATTGACGAACGTGTGCTCTTTTTATGCGCCGATGACCTTGTGCTGCTAACCAGCAGTAAGAGACCTACCAATAAACACAGTGAGTAATACCAACGGATTGTCCTTTAATCCGATGAAATCAGGCCAAACAGTAGTTCCATTTTGCATGTGGGGTGAAGATGAAGCCCCTACATCTATGTGACAAGGATATCGTTATCTTGGCTAATATTGTTGAAGCACTTGGATTAAAGCGTTCTATGTTTGATTATAAGCGTTTGGTCGACTACCGTACACAATATGTATGCGAAATTCTAGAGCAGTACCAGAGTCCGCTACAATGCTGCCATTTGGGCTACTCTGTGATGCTGCTGTATATCAGCGATTCAAAAGTGAGCGTGTCATTTCATCCTTGGACTCGGTCGCCATGATCACGGTGAAACGGGATGAAGGCAGGACTCGACAGCAGTCTTTTGACAGTTTGGCATTCCCAATAACTCTTTGCCTGTCCATAGAATAAATAAGTTTTGTTTAGGGTAACCAACAACGTGGACACGGAAGGAGAAACTAGACGGGAGTTAGGAGAAACAAAGAACTATGAAAAGAAATAAAGAATATATTCTCTAAAAATATCAGTTCTAAATACACCTGTTAAAAAAGTAAAACGGAAAGCCATGCTTTTTATTGACTTTAATGCTCCCAATACGTTACAGTGCTGACTTTTCACACATAAATTATAGAGGGAAATCCTACTTTATGCCCCCCCCCCCCCCCCC